ACTCGCCTTTTTGGCCAAACGCTTCCGCGATGACCCTTCGCCCGACCGACTCTTCCGGCTCCTCTCGGCGACTTTCGGGGTCCCTTTCTGAGTCGAATTTGCCCTCGTCTCTTGTTTTTGTTCCCCTCCAAAATCCAGCCCGTTCCGATGAGCCACCTCAAATTTCCGAACGAAGCCAGCGGCCCGAAATGCGTCTCGTGCCACAAGAGCGTCTCAGGGAGGCGGCCATTTTGCGCTCGAGTGCCCACCCTGGGCCCATTTCCGGCAATCCTTGACGGCGCAAGCCGGACCCCGATTTTTCAGCCTGTCGCGTTCTCTCTTGACTAAGCTGGTGTTCAACTCGCGGCCCGGGGGCCAGACGCGGCCCGCCGCGTCACTTCGTGCGAATGATGCGCCTCAGCTTTGCGTTGCCTTTTCAGAGAGCCCAATTGCAAATCGGCGTCACTTTTAAAAACGTTGCGGTATTGCGAGCGGCTTGTTTTTTTTTTCTGTTCCCGACCTGCTTTTAAAAATAAACGGAGTCACGTTTGAACCGTTTGTACTGGCCTCTGATTTCGAGACCAGTTATTCATCAGTTTGTCGTGGAGCGTCGATGTAACATTGATGTGGGTTGACAAAGTCGAAACCGCTCTGTGAAGGAGCGTGGAACTACCGTGCGCTTTGACGCGCCTGCTTTGGGATACAGGATTGAAATTTGGAGGAAAAGTGTGTCTTGGAAGGGCCCCCGGGAAAGGGACCCAAGAGAGTCCCTGATGCGGATTGCCAGGCCTGGCCTCGGGAGACTTTTTTGGCCGCTCCAATTGTGATGGCCACGCCCACCGCATTCAATGCACTCAAGTGGAAGTGTCTTTTGGGGGCCGGATTTTTCCCCCAAATAATTCCACTCGGCGACGATCCGGGGCCAACGCCAGCCGGCGCCAACGACGGGCTCGGCGGTCAGTCGGCTCTGAAAGATAGAGAGTCGCGCCGCCGTGAAGTTCGCGGTGCGCGGTGGACTCTGCTACTCGGCAAATCGATTGAGCCTCTTTTCCGGCCCTTTGCGGCTTGCTAATTGGTCGGCGGGCTCCCTGCTGACACAGTGACCCTAATGGAGAAGAATTGCGGCTGCCTCGTCGTGCATGAAGCTCCCTCCCCGCCTCCCTCCTTCTCTGCCTGGCGGGCGCGCGCACGCACACGTCTACAGACAGCGACACATACACCCTGATTTGGCAGCAGCTGGCCCAAAGTCCACACGGTCGGTCCGTCGGTCCCTCGCGCGCCCGCTCAGGTGACCCCGCAGCGCCGGACGGGATGAGGAAGTCCAAAGCCGAAACAAAGTCCCGCGCCTCGCGGTTCCGCCCGTTCCAAATGTTGAGTGATTTGTTGCCTCTTTTCAAACATTTGATGCCTCTTTCTTGTCTTGCCGTTGCAGCGAGGGCGTCTTCAAGTGTCCCGAAGACCAGCTGCCTTTGGACTACGCCAAGGTGAGACACACGTCAACGGGGTTCTTTGACCCACTGCCATGTGTGCCCAAAATGACGTCTTATTTTGAAAATGAGAATTATTCTTTGAGCTCGGGAAGTCCTTTTTTTTGGGCTGGGACTCGTCCCAACAATCCTCGCTCGCTCTTCATGCTGACATGGCCACAGAGTGATACAGTCAACTCGAGTGGTTAACTCGGTTTTCCACCCCCCTTTTTTTTCCCCCCCGCCTCTCCTTTCTCGGATGAGCCCTTTGAGATCCGGTCATTCGAGCCTTGCTCACATCTCGGCCGGAGGAGTGGAACACACTTGACTTTGGAGTCAGCTGATCCTCCATCAAGCGTCTCCAGTTGGTCCAGACTGCCGCCGCTCGCCTTTTGAGCGCTACTCGTAAGAGGGAGGGCATACACGAGAGATCCCACGATTGGTTTTCCAATCTTGAAATGGCGCCCTGACATCCGGACTTCATTCATTGCCATTCGTTGGCTTCTCGTTTATGACCAACAAACAAGAAGATGCGCTTCTCGAGGGCATTTCCTGTATTTTTTTTTGGACTTTTGGTCCGGTTGGTGTTTGTTTTCATGTCCATTTCTACAGGAGAACCACAAAAAGATTCACTCCCGTTGTCATTGATGAAGTCGGCACCAAAGTCTCCTCCGGAGGTCGGAATGTTTTCTCGATTGAAATGTTTTTGCTATTTGGTCTCCAATTTGAAAGCAGTCCCAAAAGGATGCAATCGCATCCGCTTTAGATTCATTTCGTTTTGAATCTTGTGATTATTTCCTCCGATTGGAATGATTTTTTTGCCAGCGACTGAACTCCGAGGGCATTTTGTTGCGCAGATCTACCCGGACCCGGAGCTGGAGCAGCAGATCTTGGCGCTGGCCATCCGCTGCATCCACAGCGAGGAGGGCTGCCGCTGGACGGGCCAGATGAAGCAGCTGCAGGTGACTTGTTCCGCCTCGGCCCCATTATTGCCGGGCCGCCTTTACGGCGGCGCCGATCAGGATTCGCGCGGCGGGTCGCGAAGCCTCCCGGGGACTTTCACTTGCGGACGCTGCCGGGATCTCGCAAAAGTCTGTGGGAGTCTCGCGCAAGCGGGATGAATTGGCCCGACGGTGTATTTGTTGAGGTTGATGCAATTCAACAGCAACAAAACCTGGAAAATATGAAAGAAGAAAAAAAAACAGACTTCCAGGATGAAGTCTTTCGGCGAATCGGATTTTGCTTGGCATGAAGTTCAAAATTTCACAACTGCACATCTGACGGCTCGTGTCCATTTTTGACGTACATCCGATGGTTTTTTTTTTTTTTTTGGTCCGGTGACCCAGCGTGCCGCGTCTTTTTTGCGTTTTTATTTTCAAATCTCCGGTTCGCTTTGCCGTGGTTCATTTGCGCCGCGCTCATTCATCCCGACGGAGTGGCGAGCGAGTGACAGTGTCTCTCCGTGACTTCCCCCAGGGCCACTTCTCCACATGCGCCTTCAACGTGATCCCCTGCCCCAACCGCTGCTCGGTCAAGCTGACGCGCCGCGACCTCCCCGACCACCTGCAGCACGACTGCCCCAAGCGCAAAGTCAAGTGCGAATTCTGCGGCAGCGAGTTCACCGGCGAGGCCTACGAGGTAAAAAAAAAACAACCCCAAAACATTTTCCTTTCCTCCTCTCGTCTCTGGTTCCACCTCGTCTCGAGTCAACAACTGGCCCGCATATGAAAAGTGTTCTTTGTGTTAGCGCGCCGGGTGACGGGGATGTGTTTTGAAAGCCCCTGACTGAAGTCTTTCATTAACACCCCCCCCCTTGGGCTTACGGTGCGCCCGTGCACGTGACTGCCGCTAATTCGGTAAAACCCTTCGCCCAGGGTGTCCAAACTGTGGCCGCCAGCCCTTTCTGGGCGGCCCACGACAGCGACCTGACTTCACCGTACGTTTGATTGGATCTGCTTTGCTGCTCAACAAAACACGACAAACGATCAGCAACATCTGACACAGCCTTCAAATGCAACATTCGTGTTCAGAACCCCCCCCCAGCGTCCTCCCGCTCTCACCAAAGAGAATTCAGTGTCAGCAGCAAGTAACGAAGGGCATTTCTTCAAGGGACGGCGGGATATGTTTTGATTTGAAGTCCTTATTGGCCAGCCCGACTCCAAAGTCTTCCAGTAGTTCCGAGTTGTGGCCTAAACTTGCTTTGGATGTCGGCGCTTCTGTTGGCTCTCACTTGATTTTTCCGGTGTACCCGATTCACAAGTCCGGCACACGTCTGCGCCTTTTCATCTCTGATTTTGTCGCTCATGCTGTCCCTCCCTCGGTCCCTCTGTGTGTGTGTGTGTGTGTGTGTGTGTGTGTGTGTGTGTGTGTGTGTGTGTGTGTGTGTGTGTGTGTGTGTGTGTGTGTGCGTGTGTGTGTGTGTGTGTGTGTGTTCAGAACCACCAGGGCGTGTGTCCCCAGGAGAGCGTCTACTGCGAGAACAAATGCGGGGCGCGGATGATGCGTCGGCTGCTGTCGCAGCACAGCATGGCCGAGTGTCCCAAGCGCACGCAGCCGTGCAAGTACTGCGGCAAGGAGTTTGTCTTCGACACCATCCAGGTGAGTTTGCTCAAAATGCGCAAGTCATCTCGCTCGACGACGGCAATCTGGACTTCACGGTACTAGCCTGATATGGATTTTGGAGGTCGGTGCCCGTTCCGATATTTGGCTGAATCGGTGTGTGAAAAGCGATTCATGGGTCCATCCTTCCGGTGTGACCGCCTTGGCCACTCGAGGGGCCAAATGTCGAAAAAAAAAAAAAAAAATTTGAAAAGTCGTGTCACGCGCACCTCGCTGTCGCGGCTCCCTATTTGTCTCAACAAACAAAAATCACACTTTGGCAAACCATCCCTCTGCGATCCGACCCGCGTGACCTTCACGAGGGTCGCGGGCATGCCGGAGCCCATCGCCCGCCGTCGCCATCTTCGGGCAGTCGGCGGGCGATGGGGCAGACCGGCGGCATTTCAGTGAGTGAAAATTGGACGTCAAGATGGTCGAGGTGCGACTGTCGTGGTCGTTTGGCTTGGCTCAATGGCGTTTTTTCAAAAAGGGACCCCCGCTGAGCCCCGGCTCCTCTTCCGCAGAACCACCAGTACCACTGCCCTCGCTTTCCCGTCCAGTGCCCCAACCAGTGCGGCACGCCCAACATCGCCCGCGAAGACCTGGCCAACCACGTCAAAGACAACTGCGGCAGCGCCCTGGTCCTCTGCCCCTTCAAAGACGCCGGCTGTAAACACCGAGTAAGTCACGATGTCTTCCTGAGACTAGATCGTCCTTGGTCCTTGCTCCACGGTTTGCGTTCAAATATCCATCGCTCGAAGGGCTCTCAAACGGCGACTATCAATGCTAACCGCGTTAGAATTGGGCGAGTGGTCACGATGTTTCGTTTTGAGAGCAAACCCGGGGCGACAAACGGCTCGAAGGCTCTTTTTTGGAGAGAAATTGTTCACCATTTGCCAAACGGTGCGACAGAAACGAAAGAAGAAAAAAAGTTGGCTTTCATCGTTCCCCAAAAGCTTCCGTTTCAGATTAAGCCTCGCGTTGTTTGAACAAAGTCGGTCATTTGATGTTTTCCGGGGGATATTCCGGCGTTTAACAAAGCCGTCCGGCCGGCCCGGGCGCGTGTTCCCGCAGTGCCCCAAGCTGGCCGTCGGCCGGCACCTGGAAGACAGCACCAAGTCGCACCTGACCATGATGTGCAACCTGGTGGGCCGGCAGCGTCAGGAGATCCTGGAGCTGCGGCGGGAGATGGAGGAGCTGTCGGTGAGCCACGACGGCGTCCTGATCTGGAAGCTGAGCGACTACTCGCGCAAGCTGCAGGAGGCCAAGCTGCGCAGCAACCACGAGTTCTTCAGCCCGCCCTTCTACACGCACCGCTACGGCTACAAGCTGCAGGTGTCGGCCTTCCTCAACGGCAACGGCAGCGGCGAGGGCTCGCACCTCTCCGTCTACATCCGCGTGCTGCCCGGCGAGTACGACAACCTGCTGGAGTGGCCCTTCGCCTACAAGGTCACCTTCTCCATCCTGGACCAGAGCGACCCCTCGCTGTCCAAGCCGCAGCACATCACCGAGACCTTCAACCCGGACCCCAACTGGAAGAACTTCCAGAAGCCCTGCAGCGCCCGCAACTCGCTGGACGAGAGCACCCTGGGCTTCGGCTACCCCAAGTTCATCTCGCACGAGGAGATCAAGAAGCGCAACTACGTCCGCGACAACTGCGTCTTTGTCAAGGCTTCCATCGAGATCCCCCAGAAGATCATGGCCTGAGGGCGAGGACTGACCGCGGCCGCCAAACCCTTTACATACTTCCTACCTGACTGACTCCAAAAGGCGAGTAACATCAAGAAGGGCCTTTTGTAGAACAGTCGACCGACCCCCCCGCACCACCACCACCACAAAAAAAAAAAAAAAAATCGCCTTGGAAATCAAACAGTGCCTAGAAGTTGATCGTTTCCGTCGTCATCTCCGCTCGTAGGTTGACAGATCGCGGACAGGATGGGAGGGGACGAAGGGCTTCGTTCTGCACTCAAGAGATTCAACCTTGGATGGGTGCGAGCGAAAGGACAGAAGGCGGAAGGAATCCCACCTGCCTCGCGTCGACACGCTCTTGGAACCCACCGCGCCGCGCCGGTGGGAAGGCGCAGCTCCGTCGTTCACCCGCTATGCAAACTTCACACAAACTTCCCCGGACCTAACCGCTCCCTTCGAAGGAAGCCGGGCTTTGTTTACCGCGCGTCGCATCTTTTGTTGTCGAGAAGGTTGAAGTTTCGCAAAAATTTAAAAAAAAAAAAAAAAAAAAGCACCAACTTCGCCTTGGTCTTCAGATGACTCAGCAACATCAAATTTGGTCGACCCGCAAAAAAAATCTCCAAAAACCAGACAGCGGAAGTCTGCCATTTTGGTTTGAAGCGAGCATTCGCAAAGTTGCGGCCACTGGAATTCCTTTTGAAAATTGGGCCCCTGATGCCTTTTTGCCTGAGCGACATGAAATTTGGTCGGCACGTCGATCGTTGGTTGATCCCCCAAAATCTCAATCGGCCATGCTCGAAGACTGCAAAAAGCCCGCCAATTGGATTTGAAGCTGTCAAGTTGAGGTTTGTTTTGGGCTTTTCCGACCGTCTTTCCAAATTGAAAGGATGGCTGCTGCCCAATCGGGAAGATTTGGAGTTTTTGTCATTGCGTGTGGCCAAGTTTTTCAGCCGTTTCACTAAACAGCTGGAAATTGTTGCGGCATGCACAGCCCCCCCCCCCCCCCCCAAACAAAAACACACAAGTAGTCTTATTTTGGTTTGAAACCGCCAAAATGTGACGACTCGCCATACAACCTTCCTGTTTACATTCTTATGACCAATAAGCGAAAAGGGCCGATGTCAGGAGGCTCGTTTTGTTTTGTGACAAAGAAAGCTTAGCGGGTGCGGGAGGAATGGACCAAAGGAAGTGAATTTGCGCATCCTTAAGAGGCCAGTCGCACCAGTTGGTGGGATCCAAACATGCATTTAAAAGTGAAGGAAAAGCCATGTGGCCTTTTGACATCGACTGTCTGAGCTTGCATGAGAGGGGTCACCGTCACACACGTGCATGCTTCATGTGCTCACTCACGCCTGGACCACATTTTGTACTGTAAACTGTTCTCTTGAAGAGTCCCACAACTATTTTTGCCCCTCACCCCCTACGCTTACTTTGGGAGAGTTGGAAGAGCAGTTTTTTTTTAACGATTAATCTTGGTTGTTTTTTGGGTTTTTTTTATGTAAACAGAAAATGTGAACGTTGCGTGCAGCTACGCTAAGCTGTTCAACGAGACGACGTGTTGACATTTGGCTGCGTATTGTTTTGCGTGCATCGAGATCGTCTCCCTCACAGCGCCACCGACTGGACGGAGGACTGTAAAATGTACATTCCACTGATTGGAACGTGTGAATACGTCATGTACAAATACAGAAGCACATTCTGTCCCCTTGTCATACTACGCGCACACAAACACAAACACACACGCACACACTGATTTCCTCTCATAATGCCAGCTGATATTTCCAGTGATTTTAAAGATGTTTTTCTACGATTCTGTATTTTTAAGAAAAAAAAAATCCTTTCTGACTGTTTTATACTTTTTCGGTTTGAGAGTCGAGGGTCGACTTGGGGATTCTGTCTGTCTGTCTGTCCGTGCGTCTGTCCGTGCGTCTCACGGGTTTGAGCCTCACGTGTTCTGTCTGTATTGTTTTCCCCCCCGTTCTGAAAAAAGAAGGAAAAAAAGTATTTATTTTAAAGCGCCGCTGCCGCCAGTCGATGCAGACGGCGCAGATAACGTTTTAACGTGACGTTGGATGAGTGCTTGTCAATTTCATAATTGAAATAAAAATACCATATACTGTGTTTTAAAGGCGGCTTTCGCTTTTTTTCCTCTTTTATTTCATTTTTGGGCTTGGCCTACATGACAAGGGACGAGAGTACTTGGGATGAAAACAGGGAATGCTGGGAAGACTTTCTAGAAGGCGATCAAGTGTCTACAAATTGATTTTCTTCTCATTTAAAGAAGAAAAAAACACTCTAAACGTGCTCTGTTAATGTGTCACTTTATGTGCGGAATGTTTGAGTTTTCACTTGAATAAATTGCAGTTAAATCCAGAGACTCTGCAGTTTACCAAACCGCAATTCACTCAATCTGTTGAGCAACTCCACTCGGCAGACGATCTGTCACAATATACAAAATAAGATTAAAAACAAAAACAGTCAATCATCTTCATTTTGTTTATTGGGTTTTTGATTATCAGTACAATAATTAACTCCAAACAGCATAATGTGTCGTTTTAATGAGAAATCTCTGTGTCACAGTCTTGCCATTTAATCACCATACAATTGTACAAAAAAAAAGGGGGGGGGGGATTCACATCTCCCACTCTGGCATCACGCACTAATGTACATATTGACGTGCCTCCGTTTTGTGCGTTAGGTCTGCGGCTTTCCAATATGGCGCCCGACAGACGTACGTGCAGTGAGTCGCCTCACCAAGCCCGTCCAAAAATGCGTCAAATGACGCCACTGCCTTCAGTTATATTGAGATTCCCGAAAGTCTCCTTGCGTACACTTTTACATTGACTTGAGGGATCATGTCAACTCCAATTCCGTGGACGGTTGCCCAAAACGCCGCCGTCTCGATGCCATCCAAAATGGCGGCCGCACTCGCCGAATGAATGGCGAGTTGGCGGATTTGGTTCGACGCACACTTCGGGGAAGCGCGACTCCAGCCTCGGCGTTGTCGTCAAGACGTCGAGGACGTTTGGCTGCCTGTTGGCGAAGCGAGATGAAAATGCGACCTGGTGTTCTGGTGGCCAGGCTGATGTGAACGTGAACTTCTTTGGACACCGTACAAAAAAAGGAAGAAAAGAAAATGGTCCGAAACCTCCAGAAGTTTATCAGAAGAAAGAGACGTCGGGCGGTGACGCAAGAAGCACAACAACAGTCATTGGAGGTAAGTTGGCACGCCAAAATGTGCTAGGATGCCCACGCACGTCACAGAACAAGAGTGAGAAATGCACCACCATTCGGTGACGTCATTGGACCGCCGTCGGGCTTTCAAAACATGCACAGTAAAACCAAGAACGAAATAATTACAAATGTCAAATCTAGGATTCATCGTCATTAATTCTCAACCAATATGGCGTGAGGGCACTTCTTAATATGCAACCTCTGTAAAATACAATGAAAACAAATGTAGTGTGTTTATAATAAAGTTCAAAAATAAATAATTCTGAACACTAAATATGAAATGCATGCATTGAAGCCGCATTCATACCAAACAACATGGAGAGTAAGTACACATTTTTACATTTTTAATGCAAAATTATGGAAAAACAAATATAGGAAGGCCACGATGAAATGTAAGAAAGTAAATGATCCAAATTGAAGAGAATATTACATGTGGAAATACTTTTTCTGCTTATAGGTGACATTAACAGTGGAAAAATTTTGGGAGCGATATATCCTAATCTTCTTCTCACAAAAACCTGGGCATTTCAACAGGGGAGGGTGTATAGACTTTTTCTCACTGCTATCTCTTTCTTTTTCTTCATACGACATTCTCATGTATGAGTCAAGTTCCTGGAACGCTGTGCAGTTTAACAGGACTCCACCTATGTTGTGGAAAAAAAAAATAGAGAGAGAGAAAAGAAAAGCCACCCCCATGATTTCTGTGTAATTAGTTCGATGAGACGAGGAGAGCCATGCAAAAAGAGCAAAAGCAAGTGCGAGCGACAAGAAAGTCATACTGGAGAGTTGTTAATTTGTTTCCTGTGTCAAGGTCATCTTTTTTCAATGCTCCTCCCAAAAATTCATCTTTATTCTCACAGCTTTGTGATACATTTTTAAAATGTATTTGATGTTTTGATTGTATTCAAGTTTTTGCTATGTATTTAAAATTTTGATTGAACTTGATATGATTGATTTCTCATTTTATTCATGAATCATTGTCGTGTTTTATTGCGTTTATTGTTCCTTCATAGAAGTGCACCTTAACTTATTCAACATGAAGAGAGGTATTTCTTTCATTTTATTCTTTGAAGGCAACCGTGTGAACGCACATGATGTACGCATGACAAAGTGAAAGTCGTGACGGTCTTGTACATTGACACTTTTACCCTTGTAAAATGCCTCGATTCTTCTTCTGAAGATAAAGTAAATAGATCTCGGTAGCTAGGCGTCTAGCTAGCTAGATAGTGCCAGTTAGCTAGCAAGGCAAATAGTTAGCTAGCTAGCTAGTTGTCTGTCTAGTTAGCTATTTCAATGTGTGATTAATAAAGCTTTGTGTGTGTGTGTGTGTGTGTGTGTGTGTGTGTGTGTGTGTGTGTGTGTGTGTGTTAGAGTGACCTCCTTCCACATGCTGTTGTAGGATTATCAAAAAGTAATCCCATTACTCAGACAGGCCACAATGTGTGGTTTAACTCAGCTGCTGCTCTGTGTCCGCTTTCCATTCCTTGATGACGTGCGGCTGATGTGATATTTGGGCCGAAAAACGCAAAAAGCAAAGTTGCGCTTAAGTGATTGTTTGGAAACAAAATGTTGTAAAAAAGACGTGCGACAAAACTGTTTGGCACCCACAAATGAAATCCAGCTGAAGAGAATTCAAAGCCAAAGTGTCGTTGATCTCCTTGAGCGATTGCACCTCGAGAAAGCCTTGCGCTTGTTATCGCACGCTTTGTTGTCTTGCGCTTGCGTTCGGCCAACTCGGTGAGGATGAACCAGCTAAGCGGCCTCCCCGGAAATGATGGCTTTCG